ACCTCACTCTGAGAGGAAACGGTGAAGATAGACACAGGGAAGTGAGGTCTAACCTGTCAGGGACCAGAATCCAGGCTCAAGCTACTACCTGTTCAGTGAGGTTTAACAAACCTTGTTGACCCTCCTTTCCTGTCTCCCACAATCTGCTCTCCACACTCTACAGGCCCCTGTCACTGGCACAGAGCAGCTGTTCGATGAGGTGAGTGAGAGGAATGAAGGTTCTGGTCTCACAGGCCCAAGGGAGACTCAAGTCTTACACCACACTGGTATGAGCTTTGAGAGTCAAGAAACAGTGGAGAGCCAGGTGTGGTGGCACACGCCTTTAATCACAGAGGCAGGTGGATCTCTGTGAGTTTGAGGCCAGCCTCGTCTACAGAATGAGTTCTAGGACAGCCAGAGATGCAAAGAGAAACCTAGTCTCAAAAAAGTTAAGAAAGAAAAAGAGAGAGAAGAGAAAGAGAGGGGAAGAGGGGAGGAGGGAGAGAAGAAAGAAAGAGAAAAAGGGCAAAAGAGGGCGAGAGGGAGGAAGAAAGAGCAGGGGAAAGCCACTGGGTGGGAGTGGTATAATCAGGGATGGAGGGGACTGGGAATAGGGTTCCTGAACACAACCCGGACATAGCAGAGAGCAGCAGAAGCCTGGGAGGTGCTGATGCTGTTCTGAGCAGGACACAGACTCAGAGGCCTCTTTGCTTTTTTATGGAAATTACTAAGACCATCAGGTTGGATCAACCACACAGCTGATGCGGCTTTCTAGTGTCCTCTAGAAACAGCTGCATGTGGGACAAAGGAAAGCACACTTAACATACAGACACTCGTGGTGGGACACAGATGGAGCCTGAGTGTGTTCAGTGTCAGCCCCACAGCAGTGGGCACTTTATCAACATGATGCCTGGTGCCTAACCCTGAAACCACATCCTTCATTCAGCTTGGAGCACCCCCTCAGCCCAGCAGTCTACTCCCTGAATTCCAGCTGAACCCCTCAGGAAGTTGAACCAAACTTATGATTGGGTAAATAAAAGATCAGACATCAATGCAGTGAATTGTTATTTACCATTAAAAGCAAATAAAAAGTGTGGCAGCACATACCTGTAATCTCAGTGCTCAGGAAGCTGCAGCAAGAGAATGTGAGTCTCAGGCCAGCCTGAGATACATAGCAAGTACTAGACCAGTCAGGTTTATATAGTAAGACCTTGTCTCATTTAAAAAAAAAAAAAAAAGGAAATGCTGACATGGGGATGTTGTGGGATAATCTTTTTGTACACTGTGAAGATATGTCACTCTGATTGGTATAATAAAAAGCTGAATGTCCAATAGCTAGGCAGGATTTCTAGGCACAGAGGATGTTGGGAAGAAGGGTGGAGACACTAGGAGATGTGAAGGAAGCAGCCGAGCCACATAAAAGAACGTATATTAAAAGATATGGGTTAATTTAAGTTAGAAGAGCTAGTTAGAAACAAGCCTGAATTATCAGCTAAGCTTTCATAATTAATTATAATTAATAAATAATTGATTAACAACTAATAATTAGCCAATAGTCCAGACGAAAATCCACCTACACAGGGAGATGGCTCAGTGGGTAGCATGAGGACCTAGGCTCAAATCTCTAACATCTATATAAAACACAGGCAGGGACCTGTACACCTGCTTAGAATGGGAGATTGGAGACAGTGGGTCCCAAGAGCTAGCTGGTGAGCTGGCTACATTTAGTGAGACACTGTCTCAAGGGACTAAGCCAGAGAATGATAGGATATCCCACATCATTTTTTGACCTCTGTGTGCAGGCACATAGGCACACAGACCCATATACATCCAAGTATATAACAACACACACACACACACACACACACACACACACTATAAACACTCTCAAAAAAGGAAATGAAGTATTGATACTTGCTGCAACATCATACATTATCCTACACAAAAGAATCCAGTCAAGGGGCTGGAGAGATGGCTCAGAGGTTAAGAGCACTGGCTGTTCTTCCAGAGGTCCTGAGTTCAATTCCCAGCACCCACATGGTGGCTCACAACCATCTGTAATGAGATCTGGCACCCTCTTCTGGCCTGCAGGGATACATGCAGGCAGAACACTGTATACATATTAAATAAATGAATTTAAAAAAAAAAAGAATCCAGTCAAACAAAAAAAAATCCTATTGTATGATTTAATTATATATGATTCAGTATCTTCACCATAGGGAAATATGCAGACACAAAAAATAGACTAATGTTTCCTAGAGCTGTGGAGATTTAGAAACTTTAGAGACTAGCTACTAATAGAAGCAGAGTTTCTTTTAGGATTGATTAAAGTGTTTTAATTTTATTTTGGTGATGGTAGTACACTTCTGTAGATATACTAATAACTAATCAGACATTTGAAATAGGTGACTTTTATGATCTATGAGATATAGCCAAATAATGCTGCTAAGTTAAATATATATAAAAGAAAATGTTCATGAGCTCAGAGTCCAGTACAGGTAGAGGGGGCTAGCTGACTGGGCCCACTGACCATGGCCTCCAAGTGTCTCAAGTGTGTCAAGACTGTGTACTTCGACAAGAAGGTGAGCTCCCTGGGCAAGAACTGGCACAAGTTCTGTCTCTAGTGTAAGCACTGCAATAAGACACTGATGCACTGAGGGCCACACTGAATATGATGGGGAGCCCTTCTGCCACAGCCCTGCATATGCCACACTATTTGGACCCAAAGGCATGAATATCAGGGGTGCCAGTTCCCATAGCTATGAAAACCCCCCGACTGAGGACCTTCAGGTCATCCCAGTGGTCCAAACAAAGGATTAGAAGGCCAGAGGTTCACACACATACACACACACACACACACACACACACACACACACACACACACACACACTCCCAGCAAAGTCTCTAGTGTCACCACGTTCAATGGGGAGGCCAACATGTGTCCTTGATATAACAAAATGGTGTGCTTTACCATTTCGCCAAGAAGGTGACCTGGGCAAGGACTGGCACCAGCCCTGCCTGTGCTGTGAGTACTGCTCCAAGACACTGACCCCAGGTGGATACTGTGAGTGTGATGGCCAGCCCTATGTCACAGGCTTGCTATAGAATACTCTTTGGACTTGAGGGAGTGAATACTGCTGCTGTGGGCAACTACATCTATGACAAGAACCCTAAAGGTACAATTCAGCCTGAGGATCTGAAGATGCTGTCACAAGATCCTCTAGTTGGCTCTAAGGACTGCTACCCAGTCCTGCCTCAGTGTGCCTTGCCTACAAGTCCAGGGCTTCTCATTTTGGAGAGCTTCCTTTAGCCACCTGCAAGGATGATGACAAGTTCTTAGTCTTCCTTTGTATCGGTTACATTCATCATCATTTTATCCAGAGTAACTGATAGAAATCACTTCAGGGAGGAAAGATTTTTTTGCTCACGGTTTTGGAGGGAGCAGGTCCATGAACTCTTGGCCTCATGTACTTGAGCAGATCGTCATGGTGGCAGGACCATGAAGTGGCAGAACATCTCATGGAAGACAGGAAACAGAAAGAAAGAATAAGGGGACAGGGACAAAATACCTTCAAGGACCCACCAGTGCTAACCTACCCCTTCCAGCTAGACCTCACTTTCTGGAGTCTCCATAACCTACCAAAATACCAACTAGGGATCAAGTATTCAACACATGGGCCTGTTGGGGACATTTCATCCCTGAACTATAACTACTCCAGAAGTGATCACTTCTTTGGAAGCTGTCCTCAGCAGACTGTGTTTTATTTCCTCCCCAGTAGCCCTTTTGCAAGGTCATATTCTATCCCTTTGCCCAGCATTCTACATTTTTTTAAATTGGTTTTTTTGAGACAGGGTTTCTCTGTGTAGCCCTGGCTGTCCTGGAACTCACCCTGTAGACCAGGCTGGCCTGGCCTGGAACTCAGAGATCCACCTGCCTCTGCCTCCATAGTACTGGGATTAAAGATGTGTACCACCACTGCCCGGCTTGCATACCAAATTCTTAAGGAAAGACACCTGGGATGATTAAGATGTTAACTTGTAAGTGATCTTTGTTTAGATTTACACAATCCACATCTAGTTACCTTCAATTAACAGCTGTGTGTGTGTGTGTGTGTGTGTGTGTGTGTGTGTGTGTGTGTGTGTGAGAGAGAGAGAGGGGGGGGGGGGGCGCACATGGGTGTCATATCCCACTTCTGCCTTACTCTTTTAATTCTGTGCATCAAGTAACACAAACATAAAGTGCTGTGAGATTCCCCTGGAAGAAAACGTGTATATGTAAAGAACTAAGGGAGCTGGGAGGGGCCAGGGAGTAGTTCAGTGGAAAACTTTTTTTTTTTTTTTTTTTTTTTGGTTTTTCGAGACAGGGTTTCTCTGTGTAGCTTTGCACCTTTCCTGGAACTCACTTGGTAGCCCAGGCTGGCCTCGAACTCACAGAGATCCGCCTGCCTCTGCCTCCCAAGTGCTGGGATTAAAGGTGTGTGCCACCACCGCCCGGCAGTGGAAAACTTTTAACTGCATGTACAAGTCCTGGATTAAATCCTAGCTCCAGGAATGGGGTAAGGTGGACCAGGAGCAGGAGGACCGAAGGAGAGGAAAGGAAGGAAATGAAAAGAGGAAGGGGAGGGAGGGAGGGAGGGAGGGAAGCTAGTCAAAGCTGTGATTTTCCATCCAGAGAAGGGAGGAGATGGCAGCCTGGATGACAAAGACTCCACTCAACAAGCAGCCTTCCTGCCCTGCCTTCCTTCCCTGCCTACAAAAGCACCTATCCAGACCTGAGTTCCGCAGGATGCAGCTTTGAGAATGATAACGCCTTCCTCCTTCTGTGCTACCAGCTCTTAAACTGCTTTCCTCCACACCAACTTTCATCTCCTCAGTACTGAGTTCTGAGCAGAAAGCAGCTGTATTCTAGGAATCCCACTTTCTCAGACCCAGACCCCTTTGTTCCTGTCCCCGCTCCCTGTATATGTTGGGCCCTTCTACACTCTACCCCTCTACACTCTCACAGACCACAGGACAAAACACAAGGATAATTCTGAGATTTTATTTGATTATGCAAGGGGATCTGATATTTTTCCAGTCTCGCTGGGTGGTCAGTCTCTGAAGATAAGCAGAGGGCCTAAGAGGATGCTCCAAGGAGGACCTTGACTACAGTGCCCTGCACCAGCAGCCTCGGACTTTTCTAAGATGTTGACGACCTCAGTCACTCTGATGCTCCCAATATGCTGAAAATTTGCTAAAAGCTTGTCTGAATTATGAGCACAGCCCATTATGAGGAAGGTAGTATTGAGATTCCCTACAAGGAAGAAAGAGAAGAATCAGGGCTACTTTCCAGACTTAAGAATCCTGGTCCCTTCCCAGAGGCCCTCACCAGTCAGAACACCTGCTTCCCCAGCAGACAACAGAACCCTTCCTCTTCTTACTTAGAGTTCGAGTGTCTAGTCTCCTGGACCCCACTCCCATCTCATGACCCTGCCAGTCTCTCGGGGTACAAAGGCATGGTACAGTAGACACAGACAGTCATTGATAAAGCCCTCCTCTCACCTGCCTGAAATTGTAAGGTGGAACTGTAACATGAAGAAGCAGCGAAGGGACAGGCTTCAGTGGTGACAAAATTTGGAAGACATTCCTGGTCGTGCCTTCCCACACAGGTTGGACAATGTTTGGCAGAAGATGCTGTGTGCTTAGGTTCGCCAGCCTTGAGTCTCACAAAAGGCTCCAAGTTGGTTATATTGTTGCAGAGATAGGACCTGCAGACACGGCTGTAGGAGGCAACGGACACTCCGGGTGGAGAGACGAGGTAGGAGATTTGTGGGGGGTAAGATAAGGCTGAGGTGCAGCCTTTAAAACTCACAATTCCCCTACTGGTCCCTGAGGAGTAGGGGATTAAAGAGGTGGAATCAGTGTCACTGGCCCCTCTCAGGGCCTCCCTTTCTAGCCTCTATATTTCCTGTGCCCTCCTGGCCCCAGCTTTGCCTCCTCCCATACCCACTCACTGCACCTGCATGGAACAAGAAGCCAGGGTCTTTATCTGTGTCTGCTAATCCTTCTTATGGAAGCCCTTCTGCTGCCCTAGCTCCTGTGTCTTCATCCTTCCCTCTCCCCCAGGGACCTGTCCACATCCATCCTACACTACAAATATCTGAGTGAGACCTACCCCATTCTGGCCAGTAATCCCTATTCCTCACTTTCACTCCTCGCCAAAGCAGTCACTCTAAAGTAACTGATGTGTTTTGTGTGCCCCTGAGGAACGTGAAGTGTTTCACAAGCATACCTTTTTATTTTTTGCATATGGTAATATTACTATCTAAAATAATCAACATTATGCTTTTACTATCAATTTGTATACACACACACGCGCACTCACACGCACACACGTCTCAGGTGTACAAAGGTGTGTGTGTGTGTGTGTGTGTGTGTGTGTGTGTCTCAGTCCTGGCTGCTGGAAGTATAGCTAGAGAGGAGGGTGAGCAGAAAGGTGAGCAAAAGGTGGTATATCACCTGTCTCAATATACACTATCGTCTCCTCGCAGCCTTCTTTCAGCTTACACACCATGCTCCTCAACAGAAGCCAGTTCCAGTTATGCAGGGTCACAGCTCTGAAGGCTGAAGCTGTCGCCTCATAGCACAAAAGAGCTTCAGTCCCTAAAGAGAGAATGTTCTTCCAGTCACCTGCCTCCCACACCACCTTCTTTTTGTTGTTGTTTTTGTTTTGTTTTGTTGTTTGGGGGGCTTTTGTTGTTGTTTGGTTGGTTTTGGTTTTTTGAGACAGGGTTTCTCTGTGTAGCCTTAGCTGTCCTGGAACTCACTTTGTAGACCAGGCTAGCCTCAAACTCAGAGATCCACCTGCCTCTGCCTCCTGAGTACTTGGGACTAAAGGCATGACCCATCATGTTCGTTGTTGTTATTGTTTGTTTGTTTTATGGAGACAGGGTTTCTCTGTGTAGTTTTGGTGCCTGTCCTGGTTCTCAGTTGTAGACCAAGCTGGCCTGAAACTCACAGAGATCCCCATGGCTCTGCCTCCCGAGTGCTGGGATTAAAGGTGTGCACCACCACCTTCCGGCCCATATCACCTTAACATCAGCATGCAGAAAGCCTATCCCCTAAGGGGACTCAGCCCACTTTCCACCAGTACATAGGTCCAGCCAGCCTCCCACGTATTGGGGCCTTACAGTATACAGCCCCCACAGGACATACAAGGCAATAAAGAGATGGCCTCTAAGAGGCACAGCAGCTGCAGAGATCTCAAATCCTGGAGTCCCATGCTTCTGAGTCAGGGTCCTGGCTGTGACAGATCAATCTGGAGCCAATTTCTGATGGAGTCTCAAGTTTGGTTCTTGTCAGTCCCTGAATTCTCTGTCCAATTTTCTAAAGAAAATTGACCATGTTAGTTGCTGCGGTATGGGCTCCCTTGAGACCTTTAATGACACGTTTCCCATCTCTGTGGTCTCCCCTCCAAAATAATTCACAGCCAGCACTATCTTCTTTTCAAAGCACACTTTTCATGTTCTTGCCTAGGTTCTCCCTCCAGCCACAGTGCTGATCCAAAGACCCATCACTATATAGGCTGTTCTCCAGTCAAATGCAAGGACATCAAAACAACAAACTGAGCATTAGAGCTTTGTGAATCAAGCATGGCGGATCACACCTGCGCACCTGTAGTCCCAGCACACAGAAGGCTGACCTAAGTTTAAGGCGAGCAAGGCCAAACAAACAAACAAACCCACTACATGAGAACCTGTCTCAAGTACAAAAAGCATATGAGAGAGTAGATGTTAATAAACATATTCCCAAATCTTTTTTCTTTACTAAGGAAATTAAAAAGTATTTAGAACTGGACAATAACAACCATATCACTTATGCACAGGAATGCATATAAAATCTGCAATAAACTAAACATGGTCTAGTTAAAATACTGCACCAATGTCAATTTCATATTAATATACCATGGTGGTGTGTGCCTATAATCCCAACACTTGTAAAGGGGGACTGGAGGACCAGAAGTTCAAGATCACTTTGAACTACATAACAAGTTCAAGGGTGGCCTAGCCTACATGAAACCCTGTGTCAAACATAAACAAAACAACAAAAACTATACAAAACATATAAACTATTCAAAGCAAACTGACATAAGAAAATATGTAAGGGCTGGAGAGATGGCTCAGAGGTTAAGAGCATTGGCTGCTCTTCCAGAGGTCCTGAGTTCAATTCCCAGCAACCACATGGTGGCTCACAACTATCCATAATAAGAGGTGGTGCCCTCTTCTGTCTTGCAGGGATACCTGCAGGCAGAACACTGTATACATAATAAAAATAAATCTTTGGGATTGGGGATTTAGCTCAGTGATAGAGCGCTTGCTAGGCAAGGCCCTGGGTTCGGTCCTCAGCTCTGGAAAAAAAAAAAAAGAAAGAAAATATGTAATAATTTAAACCAATAAGAATTTTCTCACCAGCAAGAAAACGAGAGTGAGCCTAGGATAAGCCTGTGAAGAAACCATCCTCAGAAGAGTAAAGGCACAAAAGCTAGCAGGCATTGGAGGAAGTGCCCCAGTCTAACTGTAACCTGGGAAATGCAATTATCTTGCAAAATGTATCCTTATTCTATACCTCACAGGCTGACAGCACTCAGAAAGCTGGAAAAGGATAAGAGTTAGCAGGTGTGTGGTGATAGATACTTCTGTACTCTGCTGTTTATGGAGTGACTGAGGGAAGGATAGATGGGACCCCCCAGGAAAAGAGACATTGTGAGTTCCCATCAGTGTCTCAAGTCTAATGCAGGGAGAAGTCTGACAATAGTCAAATTAGGTTTATAAACACCCACTTCTGGTACAGTATCGCTAAATATAACGAATATCTCCACCCTCCAATATATGAGGAGGAATCACTTTTGTGATGATGGGTTTGGGCAAAAGGAACACCTCTCCTGAAAGTAAGGGAATGCACAACTTGCAGGGAGGAATATCACACACAGAAGCAATGGATTAGATGCAGCCAGAAGTGGTGGTACACACCTTTAATCCCAGCATTCTGGAGGCAGAGGCAGGTAGATCTCTGAGTTCCAGGACAGCCTGGTCTACCGAGCCAGTTCTGAGACCCTATCTAAAAAAAAAAGAGAGCTGGCGAGATGGCTCCGTGGTTTAAGAGCACTGGCTGCTCCTCCAGAGGACCCAAGTTCAATTCCCAGCACCGACATGGCGACTCACAACTGTCTGTAACTCCAGTTCCAAAGGATTTGACACCCTCACACATACATACATGCGGGAATGCACATGAAATTTAAAAAAATAAATAAATAAATATAAAAACATTTATAGACGTACATGTGCACACGGATTGGCCCTAAAAGCACAGTGCTTTTTTTTTCTTTTTTAAATAATAAAGACATTACCACATCCACAAAATCCACGTGCACACAAAACACTACACATCTCTGAAGATAACGCACAAAATCAGAAACACACTAACCATCTTAGGATGGCTGCCTATGGGGAAGACTGGAGAATCTAAGTGCGGAGTCGGGATTAATAGGAATGGGAAATTATTAAAAGTGTGTGGGAGAGGCTACAAAGTTTCCAGGGCTTAGCGCTCCAAGCTAACCCAAAGTTGCAATCTGCCTGCTAGCTTGGAGATCTTAGGCACTTTGTCGAACTCTTCACCTGCCTCTTCATTCACAAAAACCTAGTGATTACCCATTCTCTAGAGTCGTTGTGAAGAAGTAATAAGATGGATATGACGTACCAGGCAAAGGCCAACGGCTTTTTATGTGTTTGTTCCTTTTGCGCTCCCTCCTCCCGATTTAAAGCTCAGCCTCTTTGACCCGCCATTCAGGCAACCCCCACCCGAGGCTGGGCACAAAGCCCCTTTCCAGCTTCAGTACCCGTCCTCTGCATAGCAGTCCAGCTGGAAGTCACTTCCGCCGCCTTCTTGGGCCTGGAACGCCACAGACACACGGGGGTGCTGTGTAACCCCGATGAGTGTGGCACAAGGCAGGCTAGAGCCCACATTAAATACCAGACATGGCAGGGAAAACGCCGCCGCCGCCGCCGCCGCCGGCCTCAGGGGCTGAAGGCTGCGCACGCACGCGCAGTGGGTGTGAGTCAACGCCTCAGGCCGTGGCTGAGCCTGTGGCTCCTGCAGTGGGGGGGCGGGGGGGCGAGGGGGGGTAAGGACCAGCCTCGCTCTGGTTGAGGTGATTCGACGCCCCATTGGCTACCTGCCTCCAGCGTGAAGAACAATCTGGCAAAGTAAGGAGGGCGGCAACGCGTGTGAGACTCAACTCGACGCGCTATTGGCTGGTGTGATTGTTGCCGGGGGAGAAGCGGGCAGGAAGGGGAGGGGCGGGCCCTCAGTGGTGGATCTCGAACCCCATTGGTTGTGCCGCACAGCCGGGGCGCTGTGCCTGAAGCTCATTGGCCCTTGTGGCAAGGAGCGGGGAAAAGCCGCTCGAGCCAGCCGTTCCTCTTCGCCACTTTGTCGCCCTTTTCCTTGGACCTGGCTGAGTGTGATTCGGCTCAAGGCTGTGGTAACCACCGGCTGGCGGCATGAACATGATCCCTCCCTGTCTCCCGAGCTGGGTCCCCACCATGGACCCCCCCTTGCTGCCCCCTCGCGCTGCTCAGCACTTCCCCACCCCACCCCACCCCCACCTCTCCACCCACCCCCACCCCCACCCCGCTTCTGAGCTCGGTCCTCGTGCCCAGCCCCCTCCCTGGGACCCTGGAGCGGGAGGGGCCACAGGCCCAGCGTTTGGGGGTGATGGATGGCTGCCTGAAGAGGGCACCCACATAATGGTTGCATGGGATGGGACAGTGCATGCCATTAACTGTTGGGCGTGGGGTACAGGGACGTAAGTGCAGCAGTGGTTACATGGATTTTCAAGAAACCCAGGCGGTTGGATTCAAGGAAGAAAGTGGTGTCCTGAAAAACACCTTTGGCCTCCATCAGGATGTCGCAAGTGTCAGGGACTCAGTAACCATTTGGGAAGGAGCTGATTTTGTTTTGTTTTGTTTAAGAAAGGGTATCATGTAGCCCAGGGCAGTCTTCAACTCCTAGCAGCAGATGACCTTGAACTCCTGATCCCCCCTTGCCTCTACCCTCCAAGACCTGGAATTATAAGCATGTGCCACCACACCCAGTTAGTTTTTGGTTTTTTAAAAGAGTCACCCCAGTTGCCCAGACTGGAACTCACAACAATCTCCCTGCCTTAGACTCCCAACTGCTTGGATTGCAGATATGAGCCAGCATGCATGGATCAGTAAATGTTTGTTAACCTAATGGAGTCCAAGAAAAATACGGAATGATACAGGCTAGTGTTAAAATCTCAGTTACCTCAGGAGGCTGAGGAAGGAGGATAGCAAGTTCAAGGCCAGCCCCTACCACTTATCAAGACCTTGTCTTTAAAAAAAGGGGGGGTTATAAGGCCCTAGATTCAATGCTTTTTTTGTTTGGTTGGTTTTGGTTTTTGGTTTTCAGTTTTTCTCCGCAGAGTTTCTCTGTGTTGCCCTGGTTACCTTGAAACTCCCTCTGTGGACCAGGTTGGCCTCGAACTCAGAGATTTGCCTGCCTCTGCCTCCCGAGTGCTGGGACTAAAGGCGTGCGCCCCCACTGCCCAGCTCAGTGCCCATTTTGGGATAGGAAATCTCTTGAGAACAATATTGTGACTAGAGACTACAAAAACAAAAGCTGAGCTTGCTGACAGACACCTGTAACCCCAGGAGTTTGAGTCCACCCTGGTCTACAGCCAGGAATACACACGTTGTGAGGTCTTGTCTCAAAAATTAAATAAATTAACTAATTGTTTTTTTAAAAATCAGGGGCGCTGAGGAGAAGGCTCAGTTGATAGTGCTTGGGCACATGCCTGAGTACCTGAGTTCAGGTCCCCACTTTAAAAGTTGGGCACAGTGACATGCCTGTAACCCCACCACTAAGAGTGAGGAGCTGAGACAGGTGGATCTCTAAAGCTCACTGGCCAGCCAGTCTAGCTAAAGCCATGTGCTTCAGATTCAGCAAGATGACCTTGACTGAAAAAAAAAAAAAAAATCAAAGTGGAGAGCAATGGAGAAAAGCCATTTAAAAATGTCAGCTCTACACATACATGCATACATACACACTCTTAAAACACACACCCTTAGCTGGGCGGTGGTGGCGCACGCCTTTAATCCCAGCACTCGGGAGGCAGAGCCAGGCGGATCTCTGTGAATTCGAGGCCAGCCTGGGCTACCAAGTGAGTTCCAGGAAAGGCGCAAAGCTACACAGAGAAACCCTGTCTCGAAAAACCAAAAAAAAAAAAAAAAAACCACACCCCAAAATCATAATGATGGCATACAAAGAGCAGATTGACTTGGCTAGCACATGTGGAACTTAGAATTGGGGGGGGGGGCAAGCAAAAAGGTTTTTAAGGACTGGATAAATGCAAAGGGGTACGATGATAGTTGTTGAAGGGAGTGCCTGAAAACCCTGTTTGGTAGAATAGAGTGTAAGCATGCTTGAGGGGCCTGGGAGGGCAAACGTCTATATGCCTGAACCTGGCATGCAGCATGGCAACAGAGAAGAACGTTTGGATTGAACAAATACTTGAGAAAGAAAAGCGTAGTTTCTGAGAAAGGAGGATCTATGAGAAAGGTTGTGGGGTGAAGAGAGGAGATGGCAGGGTGAAAGGTGGGTCCTTAGAGGGGCAAGGTGGATCACCACAGATGTAGCTTCCCAAAAGCAGAAGGGCTGGTTAGGACAGAGCTCATGTAACTCTCCTGACCTACCACTCCTGCCCTAGATCCATGGACCCCAACGAAGCACCTGCTGTCCACCCCTGCTCTGCTGACTCTTCCCCAGGGGATGAGACCAGAGTTTCCCAGAGCACAGAGCTTATTCCCAAGAGACCTGTCAGTCGCTCTCCAACCTGTGCCCGCTGTCGTAACCATGGTGTCACAGCCCATCTCAAGGGCCACAAGCGCCTCTGCCTCTTTCAGGCTTGCGAGTGTCACAAATGTGTCCTCATCCTGTGAGTATGAGATGCAGGGTGGGGGGATGCTTCTCTTCCAAAAGGCTGACTGTTGACTCACAACCTCCTTCTCTTAGGGAACGTCGGAGAGTCATGGCTGCCCAAGTAGCCTTGCGTAGGCAGCAGGAGGCACAGCTGAAAAGGCACCTGGCTCAGGGACTGATAAAAGGGGCAACTCCTCTGAAAGCTCCCCTCCGTGTCAAGAAGGGAGCCATTCGACCAGGGGTCCCTTGTGAGTGTCTCTGGTTGGGAATGGGACAGGGGTTTGGACGTAGTAAGTGTAAGGACAAGCACCCGTGTTGTGAGACTAATCAGTGTGTGGCCTTGGGCAAGGTGTTTCCTCTCTCTGGGCTTCACCCTCTTGAACTGTCAAACGTGCGGACGGGCCTGGAGAGATGAGGCAGCAGTCAAGAGCACTGTCTCACAAGGAAGCTCACCACAACGTCACTAACCCCAGCTCCAAAACCTACTCCCTTCGGGCCTCAGCAGGCCTGTCACATGTGGTGGACAGACAGACATGCAAGCAAAGCACTCACACACATAAGAATAAAGAAAATTTCATTTTAAAATGTGGGCAAGGGTGCAGTGACAATTGAAGGTAGAAAATGGGGGGAGGGGGACAGTGAGGTGGCTCAGGGTAAAGGTACTTACCACACAAGCCTGGTGACCTGAGCCCGATCCTCAGAGTTTACATAAAGGTAGGAGAGAACTGACTCCCCAGAATTGTCCCATGGTCTACACACACACACACACACACACACACACACACACACACACACACATACACACACACACACACACACGACACACAAACATGATGATAAAAAGAAAACCAAGGCATGGGGTGTGGTGAGTACAGGAAGGTAAGGGAAGAGGAGAGTGAGATGGAAACCAACCTGAGCTACCAAATCAGACCCTGTCTGGAGGAGAAGGAGGAGGGGCTGGGCAGGAGAAGCAAAGCCACAGAACAGGCCTGGGCGTGATAGCATGTGGAGGTGGAAGCAGGAGGATCACAGGTTCAAAGCCAGCCTAGGCTACATGGGAAAAAATAAATAAAGAAGTCAGAAGGAGATGAGAACTTAGCTGAAGTTGGGGTAGGATAGGGGTCAGGAAAGGGGCGTGCTGGATCTCTGCCTGGTTCCTCATAGCTGGAAAGGAGAACATAGCACCCCAGCCTCAGAGTCCCCATGGAGCAGTCCCACTGGTGCTGACACCCCCTGGGAAGGTAAGGAGACCTGGGTCCTGAGGGACGGCTCTTCGGCCAGCTCCTGCCCAGACTGCCCCCTCTGTGCTCTCTACACCTGGGTTCCAGCCCACCCCTAACTTGTGGTGTGCTCTTCAGTGAGTCACTTGGGATCTGTGGGTGAAAGAAGGTGGGACTTTAAGAGCTGCCCGCCCATAGTTTGAGCTCCTACCCTCATCCTGGAGCATGCTTACTTCTGCAGGCTCATGAATCTGCCCTGGGCCCTCTACCCTTACAGGAGAACTATGGGCCTCTGCTGCTCAGCCGCCCCCAGGAAGCCTTGCCTTTGCCCTGGACACCATTGCCTCCTGGACCTTGGGGCCCCGGACACTGGCTGCCCCCAGGACTCTCAATGCCACCTCCAGTAGTGTGCCGCTTGCTGTGCCAAGAACCTGCTGTCCCTCTACATCCTTTCCCTGGTAAGATGTTCATCCTTCTGTCATTAGACAGATAACCTGAATGCTAGGTTACCACTGCACCAGAAAGGGGAGAGGAAAGGGACCCGTGGTCTCTGAACCCATCCATTCTGCTTCTCTTGCCCTTCTTAGGCTTTGACCCTGGCACATCTCTCCGGCTGCCCACTCATGGGACCCTCCCAACCTGCCCAGGATCTCGCTCAGTACTGGCAGCTCCACTTTCTGGAGAGCCCCAGGGGCCCCCTAACCTGCCTCACACGTAAGTAGGAACACAACAAAGGAAAGTTTCTGGCCAAGTGTGATGGTAGACACCTGTAATCCCAGCACTTGAGAGGTTGAGCCAGGAATGTCAGGGCTTCAGGGTAATCTTCAGCTACACTACACAAGGTCAGCCTAGGCCACATAAAATTCTTATCTCAAAAAAAGGAAAAGGCCGGGCGGTGATGGCGCACGCCTTTAATCCCAGCACTCGGGAGGCAGAGCCAGGCGGATCTCTGTGAGTTCGAGGCCAGCCTGGTCTACAGAGTGAGATCCAGGAAAGGCGCAAAGCTACACAGAGAAACCCTGTCTCGAAAAACCAAAAAAAAAAAAAAAAAAAAAAAAAAAAGGAAAAGGGTTTCATACTAACAGGCAGGCAGATCGTATCAGTTTCTGCTGTTCCCTGACTGAGAGCCTTTGACAATATTTGCAACTCTCAGAGCCTGTTTTAATATCAGTAATTTCTAGCTGCTACTTACTCATCTGGGGTTATCATAATAATAACACCTAGCACAGGCCCTGACCTTGAACAAACATGGCTGCTCCCTCTTCTGAAACAGGATAGGATAGGGTTGTCTGGTGACAAGGAAGGCCTCGATGGTAAAGCAAGTTATAGACCAGAAGCCATCAGAACAAGTTTCGTGAAGGTGGAATTCCTTGGGGCAGAGGAAGCTGGGCTGGAGAAAGCAGGCTGGTGGAGCAGACAGCAATCCCAGTCACACTGGGTATTTTATCTGCCTTTGAAAACCTGACACCGACCCTATAACCTTCACAGTGGCGTGAGAGGGAAAACCTGGATGAGAGTCTCATTTTATAGAAAGAAAAGTGCCTGAGACAGGGAGCAAGACTTGCTCAAGTCCACAGAGTCCAGTGGCCAGCCAGGAACTCCACTTCCCATGTGTCTCTCCTTTTTCCAGATGTTCGACTCTGATACTCCAGTCCTGTGGCTCCCCAGACTCTCTTCTGCTACAGCCACAGGTCTCGGGAAAGAAGTGGCATCCAAGGCCTGGGGAGGAGGTTGACTCTGCAGAAGGGAAAGGCAGGGGACTGAAGGGAGCACTTGAGGGTGCATGGAAGTGAGAGTTCCTAGCTTCTCCTTCCCTTTCCTTCCCAGGCCCCTGGAGCCTCTTGCCTGGCCTGGACATCTGGCCCCTCAGAGCGGCAGTTGCAGCGAGAGGCAGCTGAGGCCCTTGTAGGTCTGAAAGATTCATCCCAGGCTCCCCGCCTAACCCCAACTGTCCCCCCGAACCCTGCCTGGATCTCTCTGCTGCACCCCTGTGGCCCACCAGGTGACCCTTCCTGAGAGTAGAGACTGAGAGGAGATAGGTTGGTAAATGGAGGCCATTAGAATAAGCAGAGACAAACCAAAATGGGACAGACACTAGGTGAATGCCCTCAGGTTCAGGCCCCTAAGTTTCTCAGCCTGGCCTCTGAGACTGCAGTTGAACATTGTTCAGTGAGTCACTCTTTACAGTTTTGCTCTGAGTGACAAATGTCCAGTGCCTTGATATCAAGGAAAACCAGATCCTGGGCTGTAAGGGGAACAGCGGTGAAGGCTGAGAATACCCCTGTCCAGTGCAGTGTTGGTCTAGAGGATCTGCTGGAAGTAGACAGATGAGGCTGGGGGGCTTCTGAGTATAGAGATGCAGCTGAGTCTGGACCAGCAGCTGTTTGAAGGAGAACTGGGGAATGTTCTGAGCTAGATAGAGCATGGTAGCTTTGGTGGGGGGTTGGGAGAAGACAGTCCTGGAGGCAGGAGTAAAGACACAGGAGGGGTGGGGATGATCCACAGGAGAAGTGAGGGACAGTGGATTGAGTGTGACCAGGGCCTGCCCTTCCTGTCTGCCCACAGCTCCTCCTGGGGGAAGAGGATTCCAGCCTGTTGGCCCACCTCTCCGGCCTAGTCCGGCCTCCTCTGTCTCCCTGCACATTGGGCGTCTGGGGTCCATCTCTCTCCTCAGCTAGAAACCAGAGATGGAGACTGCCTTACTGGGACAAAGAGATGACAAGCTGCAGGCACTGCATATTTGGTATTTTATTTATGCATTTTGCATAGAATTTAATGTAATGCAAGATTCAGCCTTTTTTTTTTTTTATAAGCTTTCTGGTTCCTTTTGTAGTGTGGGTATTTCCTTGACTAGAAGTGAATGTTCTCATACCCCTTTTTAAGTCCCTCAATAGAGGTAGCTGGGCAGTTTTTAAGAGGACCATATCTAAATACATTTTTGCATGAGTTTATGTTATATGCCTGTATGCTCAAGTCTGTCTCTGCATGTGAAAATACAAGAATATGTTCACTTTGTATGTAAGTTTCCATAAGCAAGAAATAAACCTTTGCCATTTAAACCATCAAGACACAGAGTTTATTATCACAGCATAACTGTCTATAATAATAATCACAGGGTAGATAATCACAGTCTACCCCGACTGACAGAAAGGACTATTCAATTCACGTCTCAACATAGAAGTCATCGGCTTGATAACTACCACAGAGCCAGGAATGGTGGCTCACACCTGTAATCCCAGCACTCACGAGGCTGAGGAAAGAAAGCAAAAAACATGGACTTGGACTTCTAATCATGCCCTGGTAAGAGTAAGAGAGAAAGGTACTGGGGGAGTCACTGATGTGGTAATTAATCACCTGCTCTGTACTGGATAGAACCTGTTTTCTGCTATCCAGAGAGCCACAAATTGAGATGCCTAACTGGGGCTAGGTAGACCATATAAAGAAGTGAAGATGACCCGATGGGGAAACAGATTGTATGTCTCACCTACAGGCAGTCTTCTTTAACCTAGTGGATTATCCCAGGCAGAAACCTAGGCTCATTGCTGCCACATCCTCTGGTTTTTCAAGAGAAATTGGGAAACTGGGTTTCTGTGTTCAACATCTTATAATAATTTTCAAACATTGGTACAGCCTTCTTTAAATGTTATATTGGCCAGATAACACAGCTTCAGGTCAAGTTTGGCCAACAGAATACTAATTTGATACTAATCTAACATGACATTTTCCAGATGGGAAAATTGAAACCAATCAGGACAGCAAGAACCAAGTTAGTCTTTATCAAGAATCTTCCTAACTAGGAAAATCCCGTCTTCTTAAAATAATTCATTAGAGGGGCCAGGCTTGTAGCACAGTGGCACAGTGCTTGCCCAGAACAATGAGGCCTGGGTTCGATACCCAGCATATCACACAAAAATACAGGACACAATCAAAGACTAGAGAAAATCCTTTCTATTTGCTGAGTCCCAACAGCAACTCTGTAATCTATGCTGAAAAGGGAAAGTGGTTAGCCCAACAGGTCAGGGAAATTTTCTAGAAAACAATCAGGATTCCTTCTTTTATAAAGCACAAAATGAAGGGAACACATCAGGCAGAAGCAATTTTCACAAGTGTCTCTCTCCCTTTTTCTACCAAGGTTGTCAGAGCACAATGTTTTGGATTGGTGTCCTTGCTTGCTTTCTGTTGCCGTGATAAACACCATGACCAAAGCAACTTGGGAAGAAGAGGGGCTATTTGACTGACGTGTCCTAACCACAGCCACTAAAGGCATGGCAGGAACTGAAGCAGAGGCTATGGTGGGCCCTGCTCACTGACTTGGCCGTCACAATTTTCTCAGCCTGCTTTCTTACGACTTAGGACCACCTACCCAGGGTTGGTACCACACAGTAGGCTAGCCCCTCCCACTCCAATCATTAATCAAGACCTGCAGGCCAGCCTGACAGGGGCATTTCCTGAATTGAGGGTCCTTCTTTCCCAGATGATTCCAGTTTTTGTCAAGTTGGCAAACTAACCAGTACAATTGACCCCTTTGACACACACACCACTGTTTAACAATTTTCTTTCTTGCTTATCCCCAAGATCTCATGTTAATATCACAATATAAAACACAGTTCAATTTTTTGTTTGTTTGCTTGTTTTTCAAGACAGGGTTTCTCTGTGTAGCAGTCCTGAAACCCACTCTGTAGACCAGGCTGGCCTTGATCTCAGAGATCCACCTGCCTCTGCATCCCGAGTGCTGGGATTAAGATGTGCAGCATCACACCTGACTCACAGTCCAACTTTTTAAAGACGGTTTTTTTTCTTGTTTATATGCAAGGGTCTTTTGCCTGAATTTATGTCTGTGCACTGCCCAGGGGGGCCAGAAGAGTGAGTCTGTTCTTCTGGAACTGGAATAACAGTTGACGGTGAGCTGCCATGTGGGTGCTAGGAATTGAACCCCGATCCTCTTAAGAACTGCAACCAATGTGCTTAACTGCTGCACCCAGGCTAGCCTCAAAGTGGTGGCACTCTTCTTACACCAGCTTACTGAGTGCTGGAATTACAGGTTCTTATGAGCCACCAGGCCCAGCTAAATAATAGAGCATATGTTTGTTAGTCCTCTGCTGTGGCATCCTCTTTGAGTCATTGCAAACAGGACACCTGGTGAGCTATTGCAGTACTAGGAAGACCTGGGAGCCCATCCTTCCTGCTGGGGGTGGGGGCAATCAGAGCTCAGCAGCATGCCTGACAACTGACTGTTCTCCTGGTATTACCTGCATCCCTCTTTTTACTCAAGATGATAAATGATGGTGGAACCCAACAACACCTTGTTCTCTTAATCCCAGGCCTTGAGAAGGTGGGCTATTCCTACTCCACAGCAGATTACAGAATAATGAATCTGCAACCCTAATCAGGGGGCACTGTAAGAGACCAAAAGACTACAGCCAGCCCCACACCATTTTGTCCCTCCTTAGTTATAACTTAGATATACGATTGCCCTTTAAGCCTCACTAGCAGTGCTGTGCTCTTCCAGTGACAGATGACTGAGCCCGCATAGTCACGGGTAGGGAGAGAAGCACTGCAAATGCAGCTCAGCTAAGACTCTGCTGCTCTGGGCTGATCCAGGGTCCCCAGTGTTCCAAGGTCACACAGCAAAAACAGATCAAAGAAAAAGGCATAGCAAAGGGAAGTGACAAGGCTCGCAGGGCTCACCAGCCACTATGCCCAAGGACCCCAGGACCCACCTGAAGGTAGGTGAGAACAACTCCAGGGCGGTATCCTCTGACCTCCACACTCTGTTGCATGCACACACCCATACACACACATCAATTAACTAATTAATTAAAAGAAAAAGAGGCTAGTTATGCTAGTGTAACTCAGCAGTTAGCTGAGCATGCAACTTTTAAATAAATAAATAAATAGATAAATAAGTAAATAAATGGCAGGGAAGTGAGCAGAGAAGAGGCTCTGCTCACTTTTCTGAAGCCCATCTCTTCTCAATGCCAGACTTAGCAAGGCTTTTCACACCATCAGCTAGCAAACTAATCTTTCAAGTCATGATGGTCCCTGAGGGAGCGCTGCGAATCTGCAGAGGTCGGCCTTAAGAACAGAGAAGACTTTAATCCCCATACTCTGGAGGCAGAGGCAGATCTCTGTGAGGCACATCTCTGTGATCATAGCAGGTAATCATACCCTGTGTAGACCCTCATGGGATCCAGAGCTTTTCCCAAAAGCAAGATCTATCCTTTTATCCCACTCCATATCTGTGTTAAGCTCTTCAGGCCTTTATGTTCCTTGGAGGTACAGACTTGATCACTCTAAGCTATGCTAGTGTCAATCTGTGTCCCCAACCCCTGGAATAATTATTCAAAGAGAACAGGCCTATCCTTGTGTGCTTTCTCTCTGGGGGACTCAGAATGAATGACTAAGTAAACAGGTTCTGTCCAATCCGTTAGGAATTTTGTTCCCTACTAAGTTAGTGCACTCCACTGCCAACATTTTAACACCATAAAAGCAACAGCTTCCTGCCCTCAACCATTCTTCTTCATTCTGCTTACTCTTAGTTTTACAGAAAGTAGGGTTTCCAATCCCTAGGGGTGGAGGTCGGGGAATGGCCTACAGAATGTGAAAAACTATTTTTGCCAACTACACATTAGAGAGAGGATTCAAGGACTGGAGAGATAGCTCAGTGGTGAAGAGCATTGGCTGCTCTTCCAGAGGACTGTGTTTGAGTCCCAGCACCCACATGGCCGCTTACAACTGTCAACTCCAGGTCCAGGAGATTTAACACCTCTTTTGGCCTCTATGGACACCAGGCACACATGTAGTATACAGACATACTTGCAGACAAAACACCCATATGTCTAGCATTCATGACGACCCTGGGTTTGATCCCCAATACTCCATAAACCAGGTGTGGCGGTACATCCTTGAATCCTAGCACCAGGAGGTGGAGGCAGGAACATCAGAAGTTTGAGGTCATTCCTGACAATCTAGAGAATTTGAGACCAGCCTGGGAGAGGAAGAACTCTAAAGGAGGTGGGATGTATGGCAATGGGTTCCACGAAACAGGAACACAGAGTGTGTACTCACTGGCTGGAGGAGGGATCCAATGGGAGCAGTAAGTGGCAAGGGGAAATGAATGAGAACAGTGTAAAGTGGCACAGATGCATGAAAATGCCACGATGGGCTCATTGCTGTGTATGCCGACCTGGAAAATCAATGGGAAAAAAAAAGTTTCCATAGAAACCCCTCACACAGTCTCTCCCTCTATCAACCCTACACCAAAGTCACACATCTGTGACAACTGATGAACCCACATGGATGGATACACTGAGCTTCCTTGTCACTGTGACCAAATACCAGATCGAAACAACTTAAGGATCGTTTTTCCCCTCAGTTCGGAGGGGTGTTAGTTTATTGTCACATGGCTCCAGGCTCTTGGGCAAATCACTGTTGGCAGGGTGTGTCCTGCCGTGGGACTTCACTCTAAACAGGAAGGGGGTGGGGGTGGGGGGGAATAGGAAGAGGCCCCAAGCAAGATGGAGTCCCGGTTGCATCATTTCTCCAACAAAGCCCATCTCCCACCTCTCACCAGTGACCTCCTATTCCGAATCCATCAAGGGATTGATTAAGTTAGAGTCCTCACACTCCAACTATGGGAAAGCCCTCACAGACACTCCCAGAAGTGCACTTTACTAATCTTGTAGGTGATGTTTGTATTGATGTGGTTTTGGTCTAGGGGTTTTGATGCAAAGTCTCCTTATGTTTGGCTGGCTTAGAACTCCCTATGTAAACCAGTCTGGCCTCACACTGCCTCCTGAGTGTTAGGACTGTAGGTGTGCTTCACTATGCCCAGCCTATTTTGGTGTTTTAATATTATTTTTTCACTTTTAATTGTGTGTATGTGTGCGCACATGCACATATGTGCAGGTACCTGAGGAAGCCAGAAGAGGACATCTCATTCTCTGCAGATGGAATTATAGGCAATTGTGAGCCACCCAGTATGGATGCTGGGAACTGAACTCAGGTCCTCCGAAAGAGCTGAGCCTTCTCTCTCTCCAGCCCCTCAGACTGGCTTGACTTTTCTCTCTAAGTATTGATAACTCATTTCTTTTAAATATTTTTTTCTAAATTTTAAATTTTATTAGTGTGTGTATAGGGCAGGTGTGCAGGAGCACGTGCGATATGTGAACATACGTGTGTCCTTGGATGACTCTGTGGAAGTCAGAGGACAAATTTCTGTAGCTGGTTCTCTTTTTTTCCACCATGGGCTCCGGGAATCAAACTCAGGTCATCAGGCTTCCATGACAAGCACTTCGATCTTCTGAGACATCTCACTGTCCCTCGTTCCTTTTTTATCTTGAATAACATTTAGTCGCCTGGATGTACCACAACTTCAAACATTCAAACATTTTATGCGCGCGCATTAAGGAGGGAAGGGGATAGTGCCGAGGACCAAACTCAGAGCCAGGCATGCTACAGGAATGTAGCATGAAGCAAGGGGACCATGAGTTCAAAGACAGCCTTCGATAAATACAAAGTTCTAGGCTAGACTTGGCTAAATAATGAGACCCTGTCTCAAAACAAAATAAATGAACAAATAAATAAATAAATAAATGAACGAATAAATAAATGAACGAATAAATAAATAAGAAATAAGAAATAAATAAATAAATACACAAATAAATAATAAATAGATAGATAGATATAGATAGATATAGATAGATAAATAAATAAATACATTACACAGGTCAGCTTGGATGGTGACTTTTTTTGGGTTTTTTTTGTTTGTTTGTTTGTTTTTTTCGAGACAGGGTTTCTCTGTGTAGCTTTGAGCCTTTCCTGGAACTCGCTTTGGAGACCAGGCTGGCCTCGAACTCACAGAGATCCACCTGGCTCTGCCTTCTGAGTGCTGGGATTAAAGGCGTGCGCCACCACCGCCCGGCGGATGGTGACTTTTAAGAGGCAAATGAAGCCGGGCGGTGGTGGCGCACGCCTTTAATCCCAGCACTCGGGAGGTAGAGCCAGGCGGATCTCTGTGAGTTCGAGGCCAACCTGGTCTCCAAAGCGAGTTCCAGGAAAGGCGCAAAGCTACACAGAGAAACCCTGTCTCCAAAAACCAAAAAAAAAAAAAAAAAAAAAAAAAAAGAGGCAAATGAGGCGAGACCAAGGGCTGAGCAAACCAGACTTCAGCACTAGATGGCAGAGCTGAACCTCCACCAAGGTCCCGCCTCTGCCTCGTTGTCCCCGCCCTAATCTCCTCCCCGCTTCCAACGCCTTAGTTCCCCTCCGCAAGCGTCAACCGAGCTGAAGCAATTTCCGCCCAAAGAAGGGTGGGGCTTCCGTGTAGTCCTGGACTCGCGAATACTGGCGCTAGAACAAAAGGTGGTGGCGGCCACATGTCATCCTTGCCCTTTTCCTAGGTTTTCCGTCTTGGTTCCGCCCTTACTACTCCCACTTCCGGCCAGGAAAACCCACTTCGCTAGGAAACACGGTCTCGCGCTGAAGCCCGCTTTCCTTCCGCCCTCAATAGTTTCCGCCAATCCAGTTCCCGCCAGGCACACAAGGCTCAAACGAAGCCAAGTTCCCCACTCCACCCCACCCACCCCCGCTCTCTCAGGTCTCGCAACACGCCCAAGGAAACGGAAAGAGGAAACAGACCCTTTACTCTCATTCCCCTGCCCCTTCTCTTGGCTTCTCCACCCCTTCCTTTTACAGGCCCGCCCATTTTAGGTGGAGACGAAGCCATATTCGCCCTCAGAGAGGCGGGAACCTCTGGTCTAGCCACTCTCGCGAGCACTCCGAACTCTCGCGAGACTGGACGCCCGACTTGTGCGCCCGGGAAACCCCGTCGTTCCCTTTCCCCTGGCAGGCAGCGCGGAGGCCGCACGGTAAGCGAGGGCTCTGGGGCCGGCTGTGCGCGGGGCCACGGGGCCGGACTGTCTGGCCCCAAGAGCTCGTGCCGGGGACCGCAGGAAGCCCGGCGCGGGGTCGCTCCGCCCCCTGGAGCCGCGGCCACGTGCGAGCGGCAGGCCCAGACATGCCTGATGGCCACAAATCCGGGAGCTCAAAGGGTTAGGTGGGCAGCAGAGGGGTGAGTGGAGCGCCCGGGAACGTGGGCTGCGGGAGAGGGGTATGGAGGAGTCTCCCACGCGGTCACCACCACGCCAGGTTGCTGTGATCCGCATGCCGTGGGCACCCAGGAATCTGTTGGACCTAGAGCTGATCTGCAGTTGAAGTGAAATGAGGCTGGGAGGATGTTGGGGCTTCAGTTTGGATGGGGGAGTAGCAGGGTGGATGTTGACCTGGACCCGCGGCCGTGTTTTGCACCAAGCCTCGTATTGACATGCTTGTCCTTTTCTCACAGATGCCTGGAGTTACTGTAAAAGACGTTAACCAGCAGGAGTTCGTCAGAGCTCTGGCAGCCTTCCTCAAAAAGTAAGTGTTACAACGGAGGCCTGACTCTCCAACCCCTGCCCCGTAAGCTCTGACCTCAATGTGTGGTTAGTCTGGATTGCCACTTGTTGGGGCCTTTTCTAAATTAGGCCTAGAATGGCCTTGTTTCCGTTTTAGCCTGTTCGTTCATATGCTAGCATCCGTCCTGCTTCTTCCGACTTTGTCCTGTTAAGGGGGAATGGCTGAGGGATCTGAAGTGGTTTACAGAAATTTCTGAAATGTGCTTTTTCTCCATTCTCTTGGTCTCAGGTCCGGAAAGCTGAAAGTCCCCGAATGGGTGGACACAGTCAAGCTGGCCAAGCATAAAGAGCTTGCCCCCTATGATGAGAACTGGTTCTACACACGAGCTGGTGAGGACTGGGGCCTTTGGCTGGGAATGGGGAGCTGCGTGACCCTATCCCCAGCTGTTGTAATAACTACCTTTGAACGTGAAAGGAAGCCTGGGAACAAAAAAAACTTAATATTTTACTTATAGGTGCTTACTTGAGAGTCTAACAGTGTCCATGGTGTAGCATTTAAGTTCAAATCTCTATCAAGTCATTTTCGACTGAATGATTGGCAAGTTGGGAATGCCGCTCCTTGTTCTAAAAGGGAACTTATGGCTCCCAGTGCCCAAAAACTTCAGTGTCCCTCTGGAGGTATGGATCCTGTTTGGATGTTTTGGAGTTCTGTAAGCCTCTGTAGACTTGACTGCTGGGTGGGATCAGTGCTGGGTTGTGCCAAGGTTGCAGCTCCCATACAGGCCTATGCCAAGGGACCCCAACTGACCTGAGAACTCACCAGGTCATGGGAAACCCTGGTACAGGTTGCTCGTCACTTGAGAATATGAAGCAGTTTATAAGTTTATATTAAAGTTTATTAAGTCAAATGTCCATGGGATCCACTTTGTTTCAGGCTTTGGCATGGGCACAGGGACCATCATGACTCATCACAGCCTCTGAAAACCAAAAGGTCAATTCCACAGTGTGGGAAAAGGTTGGTGCATCCACCTGCCAGCGCATTTTTTTAAGGATGAGGGTCATGTAGGGAAGGTGGCTTCCCCCGCTACAGCAGTGGTGAGGCCTAGCTGAGATATACCCTTCCCCTTTCTCAGAAGCAAGTGCACAGTCATGGACAGTGCTCCAGGTGATAGGTTGGGGCAGCTTGGATTTAGAATTACAAGAAAGATTAACTTTCTCTGGGTAGAGTGATTAATACATGCTGTGTATTCTGTGCCTCCCAGACAGAGTTGGTTGTCTCTTTTTCACAGTTGGTATTAGGGAAGTCCTGCGTGTATAGGGTCCATAAGCTAGTGATGTGAATCTACGACCTTTGTCACTGCTGGTTTGTATTTGGAAATGGTCTCGGGATGTGCTCCCTGTGTGGCCAGCAATTCGTTAAGTAGGCCAGTCTGGTTTCTGTCTCCCAAGTGCTGAGGGTTGAATTCAGTGCTCTGTATATGGTAGGCAAGCACTCTGGGCTACATCCCAAGCCTAAAGGTGGGAAGAGGTTAGCAATGACTGGGATCAAGCCAGATGGCTCTTGAGTGTGGGACCGGGTCTGATGACATGTACTGTAATCCTAACACTTGCACTTGCATTTGGGGCTAGAGTGCAATGAGGTAGCAGGCTCATGTTATCTTGGGAGTTGAGGAAAGGCTCTGTGGCAAAGGGTAGGGTACTCCTGGGTTGGTATGGGGAGGCCTGTGGGCACGGGGATCCGAGGTGGTGACTTACACAGAAGAGTACAGTGGGGCATTGATAGGAAGCCGCCGTTGGCTCTTCAGTGTCAGGGTGAATTGGGGCTAGGAAAGCAGTTTTTCCTAGTTGGGCCTAGAAGGGTCAGGGTGGAAAATGTCAAAGATTCCTCATTCAACCTGTCTTGACGCCATTGGTCAAGACAAGACGGGGCCTCCTGCACTTAGCACAGGTTCTTCAGTTGCTGTTAAGCTGCAGTGCCTCATGAAGGGCGCCAGCCCCTCCTGAGCGCAGCTCTTAGGGTGGCGAGAACACATTCAGGGCCAAAGCCTTGTCTCATTGACTCTGAAATTCAGCGACAATTTTATGGATTTGCCTAAAGTTTTAGCTAGACGTTCTAGAGTTAGTTACACAGAGAAACCCCTACCTGGTGGGGGTAGGGGATGTGCCCAGGTCTCATTGAGGAAGAGAGTGAAAAATAATAAGTAAATGAACTCTGTCTTGCTGCTTGCAGCCTCTAAATAATAGTCCTTTCTTAAACCCAGAAAAGGAATGCACACAAGCTCTGGGATGGCAGGCAGTACCTTGTAATTAGCCGACAGGTGGTTGTCCACGAGATGGTTTTTAATGTGCTGCTGAAAAGGACTGTTAAACCCCCATTACAGGAGCTGGTGAGCTTTGTTGCAATTCCTTACCTGCCTGGCCACTGTGCTTGCAGCTGAGGCAGTTGCTTTCCTTTGGTACTGGGGGACTCCATAGCAATGCTGGGGTGCTGTGCCGAGATTCAAGCACCAGCTGTGTCCGGACTGATACTGATCCCTGATCCCAGCCTAGTGAAACCAAGGTCCCCTGCCCTAAGGAAGAACAGATTACTCAGCACAGAAAAGTTCTGGCGTTGGAAGTAGAGTAGTGGCGGTGGGGCATTTGAGTTGGTCTTAAAGGTTGCAAGAAGATGGGAAATGACACAAAAATGAGTCTGTCATTCATGATGGGTGTGGGACTGTGGCTTAAAAAAAACCTAGGCTAGAGGCAGGCTGAGGGAGCAAGGTGGATGGACAGATCAGGGGAGCCCACTCACTGGGTCATGGTACATCCCTAGGTGGTACAGGAGTCACTAAAATGAATTTCTCCTTGGCCTAGTGGCTCTTGAGAGCCAGAAGAGAGGTGGTATCTGGGCCAATTCAAGATGGCTGCCTGGTTTTTGCTTTAGGGGTGAAGACATGCCTGTGTTCCTTAGCCAGGCAGAGCCATATGGTGGGCCAAGTCCCTTCTTGCCTAAATGGCCTGGGACTTGGTGGTAGTACGTGGGCTGTGAGTCTGTGGGGCCATCGAATTGCCTGGTGCCCCGGCACTGTGCCGTTCTTGAGGCTGTTTTATTTATTGCTTGACTGTGAAGGGGGGAGAGTACATGGTGCAGAGGATAACAGAGCCAGCTCAGCACCTTGGGGCATAGCCTTCGAGGTTTTGCCAGGCCAGGAGGCTCCCCCCAGGAACAGTAGTCCTGTATCCATGGCTGAGCTCATGCACATTCCAAGTTTGAGGTACCCACTACAGAAAGTGGCTGCCTTGCCAAATCTTTACCTGGTGTTCTCCAGGGCTAAGCTGTGCTGTAGAACAGTCGTTTCCTTCTCCGCTGTCCTTCCTCAGGCATGTGGAAATGGTCACACTTGGTGAGGCTTGCCAGTCAACCTTGGGAGAGTTAGAGGGGAGGGACAAGGAACCAGGGTGTCGAGCCCCGGTTGTGGTGCATGCTCTCTGTTTTCCCCTGTAATGGTGAGAAATGGCCTAATTTCACACAGTAAATGTGGAAAGATGGTCCTAAGGCTCCCTCTTGCCCCACCCCCAGCTTCCACAGCACGGCACCTGTACCTCCGAGGTGGTGCTGGGGTTGGCTCCATGACCAAGATCTACGGAGGACGGCAGAGAAACGGTGTCAGGCCCAGCCACTTCAGCAGAGGCTCCAAGAGTGTGGCCCGCCGCGTCCTCCAAGCCCTAGAGGGGCTGAAAATGGTGGAAAAGGACCAAGATGGGTATGCAGGGTTGTGGCTGGTCGGGGTGGTCATTGTCCATTGGTGACTTACAGTGAAGCTGTTGGACCTCCTACAAATGGAGGTACAGGGCCTTCAGAAGGCAGATGGTAAGGGTCTCACTCAGGCCTCTCTGGCTGACTTCTGGCTCTGGGAAGGTAATTTAGCGACTGTCTGCTTTCATTAGCCTGCTCGTTAACTTTTCCCAATTGATTTTTCGGGGCTTTTGATCTAATGCTTGCACAAACGACACCCCGTCAGCTCCCAGGGGTCTCCCACTCCTGCCCTCAGTTCCTTAGGATGCAGCTGGCTTGTACATGAGTGGGGCTTGGCAGGCAGAATGTGGTTCCATCTTGGTGCTTTCTTCTGTCCTCCCCAAGGAGGCAGAGACTGTGCTCATCCAAGGACTGTGCTTTCTTTTTTTTTTTCCCCTTTGCACAGGGGCCGCAAGCTAACACCTCAGGGACAGAGAGATCTGGACAGAATTGCCGGACAGGTGAGGCATGCACAAGCTCCTTGCTTCAGTTGGGGCACTGCCTGAGGAGGGGAGGGACCAGAGAAGGTCACACTGGGACAGGAAAGAAAAAGAGAATTAGGTCTACTGCAACTGTTTGGAAATATGGGTACTGGAATACACAGCATAGCCCAAGGTGGTTTGAACTTAGACCTGTGTCCCCCTACCCCCATAGAGATGACCTTGGTTAGGAATTCTAGTGGTTCATACTTACTGGGCACCAGGTGCTGCAGTTTAGGAGAGGTGGAGATGGTGTGGTAGGCTGGTTCAGGCCCAGACAGTGTAGAGTGACTTCATTCCCACTACCTTTGGGGTCAAGTGGTCTCTCACCCTGAAAAGCAGGAGTGAACAGTATAAACAAGCTCCTGGGGCCTGACCAGGCACTTGGTGCCTGATGTTCTCTGTACTACAAACTCTTACCTGCTAAGGGTCTTAGAAGACCAGCTTTGAACTTAGGGTCTTGGTGGAGGGCCTGACACAAACATTGTGTCTACAATAATGGACGAGGGTGTGATTGGGTGTGACTGCATCTGGGCAGTGAGCACATCAGAGCCTTGAGCCCTCACTGAGCCTCTCTCTTCTCACAGGTGGCAGCTGCCAACAAGAAGCATTAGAACAAAGGATGCTGGGTTAATAAATTGCCTCATTCATAATCCTGGTCTGGGTCTGCTTTTGTTTTTCACGCCAGGGTTTCCCTGGATGTCCCATGACACCAGTAGAGCTGGTGTTAGCTGATGGTAGTGTTGGGCTGCAGGTGTGCCGGGCTACACCTCCTATCTATGATACAGTTCCCAGAAAGGGGAGTTTCAGATTTTGAGAAGGCAGTATAGTTGGGGAATGAATGACTTTCCCTTCCCCTAACAGTGAGTCTACCATCCAGGAGCTAAAGATGGAAGGTGGGTGCTGCTATCTAGGCTGGATATCATGGTGTATGATGTGGAGTGCCCCCGTGTGGCGGTTGAGCAGATTTAACTGCCCAGTATAACCAAGTAACTACAGTTACTTATGTTGTGCCTATACTCTTCAGAAGTCCAGCCTAGCTCAATTGACCCTGACTGGCTTCCCAGGTGTTAGATTGCAGTTTCATGCCTTCATTACTCCTCCATCTGTAACATTCTGCAACATGCCAGACTCCCAGCAGAGCCCTTGTTAAAAGCTCTTATCATAAGAGGCTAGTGAGAAATGAGTGCCGCCCCTCATGCATGCCAGGCAGTTTGTATTTTCTGTGCCCAGCAAGCCTCTTGAAGTGGGTATCTTGCAGCATTTGAAGATAAGGGGCAGGTCACTGGATAACTGGATATTCCGAGGCTTTGAGGACTGTGTGGCTTGTGTTAGCCCATGCAGTCCACCTCAAGCCCGAGCTATTGCTAAGGCTGGACTAGCCCTGTCCAATTCTGTGGCCCAGTGAAGAATTTATTTGGCCTAGGTGTCATGGTCACTCCACTACAAGTGTCTGAATAAGCTACCTGGCCTCGAGTGGAACTCCTGGCCACAGCTTCAGTTTAGCCACTGGGGGGCAGCCACTAGCCACTGCTGAAAAGAATTCTAGCTCATTCTGAGAAGCCATGAGTAGGAACTTGGGATGAAGACCTGTTGTCCTGTCCTCTAAAAGCAGGCACCTAGCAACACTGGGGAGGTGGCCTGCTGTGGAGAATGATAGAGAAGAGCTAAGCTTTAGGAACTGCTCAGTGCACTTTTTCTCAGCACCAAGCTCATAACATGGTCATACCTACCTAACAGTGGGAGGAACAGGCTCAAAGGATCTCTGGTTCTTGAAGCCCAAGTGATAGTTTTATTTTTTAGACCTTTGTAACCCAAGCTGGCTTCAAACTTACTATGTGTAACCCAAAATGACGTAGAACTACTGACCCCCTTCCTCTACCTTCAGAGTGCTGGGATTACAGTACACCAATAAGTCTGGCCACTTGACCTGTTTTTAAATTATGAAATATTTCAAGCATGCAAAAATGTGGTTTTGTGTTCCCCAAAATATTGTGCACCCTAATAAACTTATCTGGGATCAGAGACAGAAAAGCCACTAGATAAAAAGGCTAGAAAATGGTGGCACTCACTCCTTTAATACTAGCACTCCAGAGGTAGAAATCCCTTTGGATTCCTGTGAGTTCAAGGCCACATTGGAACCAGCCAGGCATGGTGACACACGCCTTTAATCCCAGGGAGTGATGGCAAAAACAAAGGTATATAAGGTGTGAAGATCAGAAACCAAAAGCTTTTAGCTGGTTAAGCTTCAGGCTTTCATGCAGCAGTTCAGCTGAGAGCCATTGGGACGAGGACACAGAAGCTTCCAGTCTGAGGAAACAGGATCAGCTGAGGAGCTGTGGAGGTGAAGAAGCTGTGGCTTGTTCTACTTCTCTGATCTTCCTGCATTCACCCCAATAACTTGCCTCAGGTTTGATTTTATTAATAAGAACTGTTAAGATTCCTGCTACACAAAACAGTATTCAAAGCAGCCTTGCTGAAGACCTCTTCCTGAAGAGCCAGCATCCATGTCAGGTGGCTCACAACTGTTAACTCCAGCTCTAGGGGATCCAATGCCTCTGGCCTCAGGGGCACCTACCTATACTCACGAGCACATGTCCACATGCAAGACACACACCTGCATACAAAACAGTAACAGCTGGGTAGTGGTGCACGCCTTTAATCCCAGCACTCAGGAGGCAGAGCCAGGTGGAACTCTTGAGTTCGAGGCCAGCCTGGGCTACAGAGCAAGATCCAGGACAGGCTCCAAAACTACACAGATAAACCCTGTGGGGGGGGGGGGGGGGTTAGCTGATAACACTGGCTGCTCCCTGGTTCAATTCCCTTCATCAATATGGCAGTTCACAGCCATTCAGTTCCCCCGGGATTGACAACATACATGGAGACAAAACACCCAGGCATATAAAATGAAACTCTTGGTTTGTTTTGAGAGTCTCTCTGTGTAGCAGCCCTGGCTGTCCTGGAACTCTGTAGACCAGGCTGACCTTGAACTCAAAGAGATCTGTGTATGTCACCACGCCCAGCAAAGCTTTTTGTTAAAAAGGTGGGCAAAGCTGTGTCCTTCCCCAGCCCCAGTCCTCCTCTTCCCCGGGATGAGAGAGTCAAGGGTGTACACATTTCACCTCTACCACAGGCATTTGTCCCCAAACAGTCACATTTTGCCTCTGGGAGACAAGTCAACTCCATCATCTACACCAGGTTTTTCTCCTCCCTACTTCTGACACTGTCTCGACCCCAGCTCTATGGCATTCAGCTGCCCTATTGTACTATGGCATGTCTTTTCTCCTGCAAATGTACCTTGGCATTGTTTCACGATTTGTTTATACCAAAAATATCCTGCAATGAATGTGGTTTTTGTTTTGTTGATGTCCTAAGAATTGCACTTGGGGCCTCACCAGAGCTACTAAGTGCTATACTACTCCGGCTACCCCCTCAGCCTCTTTCAAATTCTATTTCTTTTTTTCTCTTTTTGTTTTTGCTTGGTTTGGTTGGTTGGTTGGTTTTGATTTTTTCAAGACCAGGTTTCTCTACTGGAACTCACTTTGTAGACCAGGCTGGCCTCAAACTTAAGAGATTCACCTGCCTCTGCCTCCCAAATGCTAGGATTAAAGGCGTGTGCAACCACCCAGCTGAAATTATTTGTCTGTTTGGGGAAGTAATGTGGGTGGTGGAGGGGAGGGTGGCGGCGGGGGGGGGGGGGGGGGGGGGGGGTTGCACACATGCAAGTGCACTATATGTGTGCATGAGCCCATGTACTTCAGAAGAGAGTGCTGGATCCTCTGAAACTGGAGTTAAAAACAGTTGTAACTGTTTTTACATGTGAGTGTGGGATATAACTCAGGTCCTCTACAAGAATGTGCTCTTAAACAGCTGAGCCATCTCTCCTGCCCCTATTTTGGGGTTTGTTTGTTTGTTTGTTTGGGACAGGGTCTTGTAAAACTCTGACCTGGAACTCTTAACAATCCTCATGCCTCTGCCTCCCTTTTGTTGTTACTTTGATTTATTTTGTTTTGTCTGAGTCAGAGCCATCCAGTCCCTCACCTTTAAAACAAAAACAGGATCGCCCAGAGCTCAATATACTGACTAAACTGGCTGGCCAGTGAGCTCCCTGTCACACACCCCCATCTGCCTGTTCCTTATGTAGCACAGGCTAGCCTCTTGATTCATCATTCTCCTATTTCAGCCTCTCAAATGCTGGGATTGCAGGCATGAGCCAGCACACCCTCAGCTGAGTCCACCGTAGACTGTATAGCACCAGGCAAGTGGTTGCTTCCCTCCCTGAGCCTCAGTTTCCTCCTCTGTAAAGCGGAGGATGGTCTACTTTGCCCTGTTGAGGAGAAGATATAAAAGAACTCCAAGGCTGGGGTGTAGTTCAGTGGCAGAGCAGTCACCTGGCATGCATGGGACCCTGGGTTTCATCCCCAACACCAGGAAAGGAAAAGTTTGCCACGCATGGTGGTCACATCTGTAATGGCAATTGTGAGAAGAAGGCAGAGGCAGGAGGCTCGTGACTTCAAGGGCATCTTCAGGGGCTGCAGAGCTGACTCGGTGGATAAGAGCACTGACCAAACTGAACCAAAGTTCACCTTCCAGCACCCATATGGCAACTCACAACTCCATTTCCATGGGATCTGTAGCCCTCTTCCGGCCTCCGCAGGCACCAGGCACACATATGGTACACATACATACATACATACATACATACATACATACATACATACATAAAAGAAAACGCTCATATACATTAAATAAAGCTTCATCAATTAAAAAAAACAAGGGTGACAATAAGTAAACAACAACAACAAAAGATTTTTTTTTCACCTGCTTAGTGAATTCAAGGCCAGTCCGGGCTATGTGAAACATTGTTTCAAAAATGGAAAAGAGAGAGAAAAGCGGTGGGGTTAGAAAAAGAAGGGTTGATGGGGGCTGACAGGTTTTGCCTGTTGTTAATGAGATCAGAAGCTAAAGCTAAGAGTAGCATGTGGACCTGCCTGCAGCAGGCACCCTGAACGTTGCCTCACCAGGATCCTTCCGCAGGTTCGGCGGCGATGAAGCAGGCCTTGAACTAGCCTCTTCTCCACCCAAGCACTAAAGACTCAAGGGAATTGCGGCGGGTGCAGGTGCAGGGCAGTTCCTCTCCACTCGGGGCCTGAAACACATGGCAAATAAAGGCCACTGGAGCCCATCTCCGTCGGGGGCCGAACAGGAAGTGAGGTGGATTTTGGGGTGGAATCTGGTACCTCAGAGCTACTGCAGCCCAGACTAACCAACCCACTGGGAGAAGATGTCAGGGGGTTTAGGAGTCCTTGGAGTCCTGCCTCTCCTCCTCCTCTTCCTGTCTGAAGCCTGCCTGGGTAATATGGCCAACGGGAAGGTGCTGGGTGAGGGTGGGGGTGGTGCAGCTGACAGGAGGGGTGGAGAGTGGAGCCAGAAGCAGAGGGAAGCCAGGCAGGGTGATACATAGCGGCACACCCCTTAAAGTAATGCCAAAACTCGGGAGATTGAGGCGGTGGTGGGGAGGCATATTGCATTTGAGGTTAGCCTGAGTTCTATCATGGCTAGCCTGGGCAACTTACTGAGACCCTGTCCCAGAAAGAAAAGGAGCAGGGGCAGGGAACCAGGGGAAACTTTCTGTATCAAGATGTATCAAGATTGGGTTGGAGGAGGCTCAGAGAAGTCCACTGTTAGGCCCAAGACCACTATGCCCCACAACACACAACCACAAGTCAGAATGAGGAACTGAGGTAAGTGTTGAATGAAGGTCAGGGCAGGCTGAGGGGAGGCAACAAAGGGTGTCGGGGAGGGAAAGGGAGGGCATGCCTCATCAGACTCTGCATTCCCCTCCCCCACCCAAATGTGACCACACTGACCTAGGCTTTCAGAGGGGAAGGTCATCCACTGAAGTGACGCTGGGAACAAACTGGACGCTGCTGAGTCTTAAGCCCGTGACTACGAAGTTGCCGGGGCTTCTTTCCCCACCTTCTCTTTCTCACTTCCGACCTTCCTCTTTCCTGCAATGTCCAGGGCGGTGGCCACAAGCCAGTGTGGTCCTGGGGAGGCTGAGAACGGGGGCTTGCAAGATAAACACAGAATAGACACCATAGGCATCAGTCCACTCTCGTCTGAGCCTCCGCCCCCGGCCCCCAGACAGAACTCAGTCCAGGTCCCTCCCTAGGTTGACACATTTAAATTACAGAGGCGAGAAACAGCCTAGGCACAAAAGCCAAGCTAAGGCCAGGAAAGGACAGATTCAGGGAGGTTTCAGGAATACCACCTCTTCCAATAGGCTGGGTGATGCTGGGCCCTGCCCACCCTGGGTCTAAACTGGGCCCCCACCCCAGGCCCAGTGGAGGGTCCTAAGGGTTGGGAGGAATGGGGATCAATGGGAAGGGCTTCATGAGAGAGTCTCTGAGCTGGCTGGGGAGCCCTCTATGCAGCAGGGCACTGTTGGTGTCAGGAAAAGGCAGAGGGGCAATGGGGCAAGACGCCACAGGCTGCATCTCCCAGCATCTACTCTCCTTGTCTAGATAGCTATCTTTTTGTTGCTGTTGTTTTGTTTTGGTTTTGGTTTTTCGAGACAGGGTTTCTCTGTGTAGCTTTGCGCCTCTCCTGGAACTCACTCTGTAGCCCAGGCTGGCCTCGAACTCACAGAGATCCGCCTGGCTCTGCCTCCCGAGTGCTGGGATTAAAGGCGTGAGCTAGATATCTATCATTGCCATCAGGACCACTCCACTTCCAAGAGTGCTGGTGTGAAGGGCTCAGGATTGGGGCAATCAGGGCCATTCCAGTCTTTGACCCACTTGTCTCTTCTCATCTCCCCACAGGCCCTGGATGCCAGGCCCTGAAGATAAAGGTTCCACCATCAGTGACAGTGAACTTGGGAGATGAAGCCCGCCTCACCTGCGAACACGATGGCAACAACCCTAATATCACATGGTGGTACAGCCTTCTCTCCAACGACACCTTTCAGTTCGTTGGCTCTATGCTCCCAGTGTCGCTGGGTCCTGGCCAGGGGCCCAGAGGCGAATTGGTCATCTCCAACGTAAACGAGAGCCATAGGGGCATGTACAGGTGCCTTGTGGAAGAAAACAGCGTGCCACAACTCTCCTGTGGCACCTACCTCCGAGTGCGTAGTAAGTAGCAAGGGGCACTGCCCCTCTGGTTCCCTCTTCCATTCAGGACACTGCTTCCCTGGGAGCAGAGCCAGTTCCTCCCTCCTGGACCTGCAACCAGCAGCACACAGGTTCTTACCTGCAGGATGGTAGCTTCAGGGCTCCCTGACCTCATAAGGGGTGGGCTGGGAGAGGAGGGGATCTGGGAACTCTGAATGGTACCCTCCCTATCTTCACAGAGCCAGTCCCTAGGCCCTTCCTGGAAATGGGGGAAGGCACCAAGAACCGCATCATCACGGCTGAGGGGATCATCTTGCTATTCTGTGCAGTGGTACCAGGGACGCTGCTGCTATTCAGGGTAAGTCCCCCGAGCGACACCCCCCAAGTCATCTGGGCTGGCCTGGGCCTGGACTGTAACTCTCAGTGGCCAGCTGGTCCTCTAGATTCTGAGGTTCCTCCTCCAAAGTTTGGGAGACTGAGAGTACCCCCCAATGTAGCAAAAGGATTTTAAGTGGTACTGAGCTCAAGGAGTGTCAGTATGTCCCCAATGGCCCTCTCTAGATAACCTTCTCACTTTCCTCCTGCCCCACCAGAAGGGCAGTCCCCTGCAAATACAGCCAAGACCAGGGAAGAAGGGGACCAGTGTCCTCCCAGAGGAGCCCCTACTTCTCCTTAGGTCACAAGGCACCTTTTTTTTTGACAAGATTTCACTATGTATCCCTGGCTGGCCTTGAACTCACAGAAATCTGCCTATTTCTGCCTTTCACTTTCTGCTGTTGGAATTAAAGGTGTGTGCCACCATGCCTGCCCTTATTTATTGTGTATATGTATATTGTGTGTGAGAGTCTGAACATGTGAGTGTGGAGGTCGGAGAACAACTTTCCAGAGTCCAGACCAAAGTCATGTCCTCAGGTTTGCATGGCAACAAATTTACCAGCTGAGCCATCTCCTAAGACTTTCTTTCCTTTTCTTCTTTTTTTTTCTTTCTTTTTTTTTTCAAGACAGGGTTTCTCTGTGTAACAGCTCTGGCTGTCCTGGAACTCGCTCTGTAGACCAGGCTGGCCTCGAACTCACAGAGATCCACCTGCCTCTGCCTCCCGAGTGCTGGGATTAAAGAAGTGCCTGGCTAGTTTCTTTCTTTCTTTCTTTTTTCTTTTTCTTTCTTTTTCTTTTTTTAAAGACAAATCTCGGTCCAGGCTAGCCTCAAACTTGCTGTTACTTCCATGGCTGGCCTGATTCTTCCCTCTCCCTTCCAAGCCCTACAATTACAGGCATATGCAGCCACCAATTTTTTTTTTTCATTTTTAGTGGGGAGGTTAAGACAGGATCTTGCTATGTAGTTCAGGCTGGGTTGGAACTCACCATATAGATCATATTGGTCTGGAGTTCATAACCTTCCTGCCTCAGTTTGCCAAGTACTAGAATTACAGATGGTCACCACCACTCCCAGCTTATTCTTATACCTGTCATCACTGGAGAACAGTAGAGAGCCGGCATGATAGTGTTACCCTCATGTTTAATCCCAGCAGCATTCAGAAGGCAGAGGCAGGCAGATCTCTGGGAGTTCAAGGCCAGCCTGGTCCACATAGTGAGTTCCCAGCAGCTCATGCTAGATAGATAGAAACCCTGAGAAAGTTAGTGGGATGTAGTGGCAAACACATCCAGCACTCCACTTGGACGGTGAAGCAGGAAAATTGTTCCAAGTTTGAGGCCCATAAGAAGAAAGAGAGGAGAGGAGAGGAGCAGAGAATAGACCCTGCCAAGATCCCTATATGGCCTTGGGTGTGTTCCTTTTTCTTTCTGATAAAGCACTTGCTAGTATGAGAGGGTCTGAAAAACCCTTCACCTCCCTCTTTCTCTTCACCTCCTATAGAAGCGATGGCAGAATGAGAAGTTTGGGGTGGACATTCCAGATGACTATGAAGATGAAAATCTTTATGAGGTGAGCATCGAATGGGACTGCATGGGGAGAGGGAGGTCTGCAGTGGGTCCCACTCTGGGGTTGACTGGGAACAGGGACCCCAGCTGCCAGGTTACTGATGTCTACTCTCTGTCCTCTGCAGGGCCTGAATCTTGATGACTGCTCTATGTACGAGGACATCTCCAGGGGACTCCAGGGCACCTACCAGGATGTGGGCAGTCTCAACATTGGAGATGTCCAGCTGGAGAAGCCATGACTGACCCTTCCCATCCCCCATCCTGCTGGGCTGTCTGTCCATCCCTGCCTGGACTTCCCCTGGAGTCCCCCTTTCCCAGTCTCTGTCCCTCTGGGGTATCTCACCCTTGCTTCCATACTGCCCCACCCTACTCTCCCACCTAATCTTGTCCCTTCCCCAAGTCTGTCCCGGGTTCCCTCTCCAGTGGGTAATGAGCCCTTAATCGCTGCCTCTAGGGGAGCTGATTACAGCCACCTCGTTAGTGTCACCCCCTCCTCCCAGATCTGTCATGGCCACTTAAGTGCTAATAAATCCTTCCCAAAGCAGCCCTTGGCAGGAGTCATGGATCTCGTGAGGACTGCTCCTCAACATTGCCAAGGGACCAGGAGCAGGAAGCCCAAGCAAGTCCCCTTCCTCCCTCAGACTTAGGATTCTGGACCCAAGTTCTCACCTGCCCACTTCTGAGATCTGGGACTAAACAGCCAGTCTTGGCTCCCTCCCACCCCTCCAAGAAACAGGAAGTCTCTTGGGGAAGTCCCCACCCCAATGGAAGGTCTGGTTTAGCTCTTTATGGGGCCTCACCCTCCCTATGTTCCTAAGCAAGGGGAACCAGCAGGGGGTGTTACAAATTATTATGCTTATTTAAGCTCTGAAAGCACAAGGTATTATTTCCTGCCGTGGGACCTAATTCCCTCATGGGTTCACTTGCATAGGCAGATGTGCAGAGTTTCTGTCAAGAACTTGGGGATGGTGGAGAGATGCAGAGAGGTGTGACACAGGATCACTGAGATGGGAAAAGCAGACTCAGAAAGGTGGTTAAGGACATGAGTGAGGCAAAGAGGAGACACGGGGAATCCCCAGAGGCAGGAATAGAGATACGGAGAAGGCAAGTCGAGAAGCAGATGTGAACTGGCTGGCCAGTGAGCCTGAGCCTGAGGGAAACCAGCAGCTGGGGAAAGGGCAAAGCCTGAGGTCTCCAAGGACGAGAGAGACCCAGCGGCAAGAAAAGGGTGCAAAGTGATCAAAGGCACAGAGGAGCTGCAACAGAGTGAAGATACAGAGACCAGGGAGGAAAACGGCTTCCTTCCGGGGAAAGTGCTGTATGGAGAGTGGTGGGGTCACAGACAGTGAAGCTGCGTGCGTGCATGTGTGCGTGCGTGAGTGCGTGCGTGCGTGCGTGCAAGCTTTGACATGGTGGTGCACACCTTTAAACATTAACCTCTGCGTTTCCGGAGGCAAAGGCAGGCGGACCTCTGTGAGTTCGAGGCCAGCCTGGTCTGCAGAGAGAGTTCGAGGCCGGCAAGAGCTACATAGTGAGGCCTTGTCTCAAACTCAGAAGAGGAAGAAAAGAGGAAGGGTCAGGGCAGGAGCTGGGCAGCAGCAGGGCAGGAGGCAGTGGAGGACAAAGGCGAAGGGGAGCCGGGCGGGGCCGGGTGGGGCTGCACCCGTGGGGAAAGGAGGAGCCGCGCGCGCGGGCGGCGAGAAGGGGAAGGAAGCCGAGGTGCCGGGCGGGCACGGGGCGCCGGCAGGAAGCGGGGAGGGGCGGCGGGCGGGGGCTCCGGAAAAACGCCCCGACTTCCTGCCCGCTGGAGCCAGGAAGCCGGAGCCGGGACGCCGGGCCCAGGATCGCCGAGCCCGACCTCGGGCGCCCCGCCGGTCACCTCCCCGCGCGGACACCAGGTACATCGTCCCTGGCCCCGCCCGGCATCCTCCCCTCGGCCGCCGGGGGAAGTGAGGAGGAGCAGGGAGGGGACCCGCGCCGAGGGCCTCCGGAGGGGGGGGGGGCAGTGAGCCTGCAACCTCCCTTCCTCATGCCTCAGTTTTCTCATCTGTCAAAGAGAGCAAAGAGAAAACCCGGCGTGGGGGCGCACGCCTGTCATCCCAGAACTTGGGAAGCAGAGACAGGAGGATTACCATGAGTTCGAGGCCAACCTGAGCAACCTAGCGTGGAGATGAACTAGGTCGGGATCCAGGCTGCCACCTATTCAGCGCAGTTCAGAACAATAACACCCGTTTATCAGTGAGGAAACTGAGGCCCAGGGAGTCATAGGGACTTACACTCTAAGTAAGATAGCAGCTGGGATTTGAACTCGAAGCTGCTTGCTGTTAAGCGCTGTCCCTGTAATCATGGATGCTAGATTAGAAGTACCTAAAATAAACAGTATCTCTGTGGGCCATTATGAAGCCGAGAGTTACAGAGCGTTGAAAACGTCTCAGAAAGCTACCCCCACCCCGGGTTATTAATTATACTCTGGGAGATGGCTGTATGGGAGAGAACCGGAAACATATCCTTATTAAACATTTGGGAAGACTGAGGCCTAAAGGGAAGTCATTGGTTTTTTTTAGGTTAATTAGTCTATCAGGGGGAAAGATATAGTCGAGCGGGTGGGTGTTTTTGTTTTGGTTTGCTGGTGTTTTTTGTTTTGTTTTGTTGTCCAGTTACAGCGGGAGGAGTTGACAGGGGTGACAGAGGGAGCCGGTATACAAGCGTTGGGAATTTAATAGGTCCGAGTTGTGGAGGTAGACAAGGTGGGAAGACTCCATGCGAGGTCCGAGTAGGTACTTAGGACCTGAGCGACTTGGAGATCTGCGCTTGAGCTCTAACCAGGCGCTGGAACTATCCACCACTCCCGCAAAGGAGGCGGGGCCCGGGAGAGTGACAGGGGCAGTCGAGATACGGAAACGCGGGCCCTCCAAGACAGGCCAGAGTGGCCTCATCGGACCAGCGTGGCTCAGTGGAAAGCTAGAGCGGCCGGCCAGGAGGAGTAGAGTTGCCAAGGCCGGAGAGTGGCAGGAGGCGGGCTAGAGCGGTCAGAGGGAGGAGTGGAGCTGGGCGCAAAGGTGGCCTCTGGCTCTGATAGAGCGACTCTGCGGCGCGGGTGGGGGAACCTTGAGCTCGGGCGCGGAGGCTCCGGTTCCGGAGGCTGCAGTGGCTTCTCATCTCATCCGACAGGTGAGATCCGCAGCCTTGGCTGCCGTCAAACCTGACCCTGCACGTCTTCCCTGCCATCCACATTGCCACAATTGCTGTAGTACTGAGCGCCTGTGTAGATCAGCCACGTCCTGTGCAAGATTTAGGGCTCGTGAAGACCCGCCACGTTACATAGGTTATAAAATCTTACATACCCTTCAGGTTTCAGGAATCCTTTCGCGGAATCCCAGCTTTTAATAAACATGGGTTTCTCATAGGTCAAGCTAGGGCCCTACAGAACCCACTACACACCCCTATCGAGGTCCCATAAACCATTATTTTTCTCGTTAGAATCATCATCTATCTGGATTCTTGAGGCCCACTATATCAAATAGAATCTGGGGTCATACACATTCCAGGATCCTCTTTTAGGTTTTTCAAGGCTCCTAGAGGTTCTTGGAGACCTGAATAATCCAGTCGAAAGGCTTGGGGACCCTGAGCCCTTAGAACCCAGGCGTCCTTGTGTGCTCCAGGACCCCCCACTGCATAAACCTAAATCAGCCCTGACTCCCCTCCACCCGCCACCCCAGAGCCTCCAGTGCAAAGTGCTTCATCTATCGGACAAAGTAATAGGTAGACATTGTTAGTTGCCTGTACAGTCTCATTTTGCCAGCTTTATCTATATCTTAATTTTCAAACCCTCCCGCTCTGATCCCAGGCTTCTGGAACTGCTGGGTCTATTCTGGGTGACTGCTAAGGCCGCAGCAGCCACATGGCTTTCCCAGGCACCATTAGAACTGTTGTGTCTCAGAGCATTGATGTAGATTTTAACATCCCAAGGGTGATGGAGGGTTGGGGAGGGGGGCATCCCTCAAAGCAGTATAGTGTGCTGAACGTTTAAACTGTGGAACCAGACTGTCTGAATCTGAATCCTAGCAAGCCATGCCTCAATTTCCCCCTCTGTAAATGACAATAAGAATAATAGCGACCCCTAGATAAAACAAATCAAAATAATGCTGGCCTCATTGGGTCTGTAAGAGGATTAAATGCGTTAACACCTGTAGACAGAGTCTGAGCCCCGAACAGACCTAGGTGTGTATGTGCCAGCTTTGCTGTGTCTGGCACATACTGAGAACACCTCAGACATCAGTTGTTCCATGCTATTGTGATGAGAAAGGCAGAGATAATGCATATTAACTGTGTGAGAATCAGGGTCTTGTAGTGAACATTTGTTCAAATTGTGTACCTTCTTTGGGTTCTCTTTTTTTGGGGGGTGAGTTAATAAAGACATTTTAATAAATACTTAAGCATGAGAGGTAAGGGGCCATTTGAAAGACACATGTGAGAGCCGGTCTAGTGGCACACATCTTTGATCCCAGCACTGGGGAGGCAGAGGCAGGTGGATCTCTGAGTTTGAGGCCAGCCTGGTCTACAGAGTGAGTTCCAGGACAGCCAGGGCTACACAGAGAAAACCTGTCTCAGAAAAGAAAAGAAGAAAGAAAGAAAGAAAGATGGGCTGGAGAGATGGCTTAGAGGTTAAGATCAAGCACTGGCTGCTCTTCCAGAGGTCCTGAGTTCAATTCTCAGCAACCACATAGTGCCTCACAACTGTCTATAATGAGATCTGATCCTCTCTTTCTGGTCTGCAGGCATACATGCAGGCAGAACATTGTATACATACATAATAAATCTTAAAAAAGAAAGAAAGACATGTGTGAGAAGATGGATGTGGGTCTAAGAGAAATGAGTTTGGGCTTTTGGTTTTTGGGGTTTTTTTTGGTTGATCTGGTTGCTCTGTTTGGTGCTGCTGGGGGTAGAACTCAAGGCCTCTTACATGCCAAACAAGCATTCTGTCATTGAGCTACATGCTCAAACCTTCCTTGACTCCTTTGGGATCTCTCAGTTGAACATATTTACTGCTAAGTGGTATGAGCATGGGAGTTCCAGGTCTGTGCTTATGGCTTCCAGCCTAGAAGGTCTGGCTGGCAACGGTGGTCTTCGAGCCATCAGTTCCTCAGAGGGATAAGCATAGCATAGGATGCTTGTAGTCGGGGAGTTAATGGAATTGATAGAGCTGGACACAGTGCTTCACACCTATAATACCAGACCTTGAGAGACCAAGACGGGGGATGGCCTCAAGTTTGATTCCAGTCTTCAGAGTGAGATCCTGTCTTAAAGAAAGAAAAGAAAAAACTGAGTTAATATAGGCCTGGAACAACTCTTTAAGTGTTAGAGGAGTTTAGCTCTCGTAATAACTACTATTGCTTTGCTCTCTTGGTTTGCAAGTTTATTAACACTCAACAATGTTCTTGAAATTACCCAAGCTTTTATGATGGACAGATACAGTTTCTGAAACAGAATACAAATAATGCCTGCTTGGGCGAACCCCCAAGGATGACTTCTGGGCACTCCAGG